CAATTGGAGTGCAGGATAGGTCGGAAACCACCACCAGCGGGTCGGTTGAAAGTAAATTGTGACAGTGCTTTCATTGAACAAGGTAAGGTGAAGGGCTTCAAGCTTTGCACAGAACTGCTTTCTTCTCACTTATAGGGAAGGAGACAAAGTAGCTCATCTCTTGCTTATGTTGGTGCTCACAATTAATGTTATTCTCAATCCATGGGAGGTGAAATCTGAGTAAATTTTTTTTTTTTTTTTTTTTTTGGGTTGTTGTTTTTGTGAGATCATAGGCAGTTGAGTTGAGAAAATTGTGGTGCAATTGGAGTGCAGGATAGGTCGGAAACCACCACCAGCGGGTCGGTTGAAAGTAAATTGTGACAGTGCTTTCATTGAACAAGGTAAGGTGAAGGGCTTCAAGCTTTGCACAGAACTGCTTTCTTCTCACTTATAGGGAAGGAGACAAAGTAGCTCATCTCTTGCTTATGTTGGTGCTCACAATTAATGTTATTCTCAATCCATGGTTGAACTCTCCACCTGAATTTCTCCTTTGTGAGATTTAGGCAGATGCTTTGAATTTTCATTAGTAAAATTTTGTGAGTTTTCAAATCTACTTCTCTATACAAATGGGAGAACCCAAGATTCACTATTCATGTTACAGTAAATACTACAGTAGCATTTACTATATCATTATTACTGTAGCGAACATAGAACTGGACATTGGATTTTTTTGAAAAATGTTACTGTAGCACACAGAAATACTACAGCAGAGGCGAGATACTATAGCAATTTAAAATTTTTAAAAAAAACTATAGCAGTTAAACCGGGATTACTATAGCGGGGAAAAAAATATGTGGTGCTTTGCACGGTTCACACTAGTATATATGTATATATAATACTTCCATAATCATATTCCAAATTAGAATGTAGTGTTTCAAAAATTAGAAAACTAAAGAGATCATTAATATGTAGAAAAGTCAGAAATTAACCTAACCCTGACGGCAATTGGCAGAATGAGATGATCCTCAGAGGTGGAAGAAAACGCAGGTCACCAGCAGACTCAACGAATATGTAAAAGTTTGAATACATGTTGATTATTAACTAATATGTCATATTCTTTTTTAATTTCCTTGGGGCCAATGCACACTTGGCCCCCGCGTGCGTCCGTCATGGATCCGTGAAGATATTGGGACGTGATTACCAAATATTTTATATCCAATCGGATATGATAATGGATATGAATATGTAATGAAATATTTGGATCATATCTAAAAATATTTGAATACATGTTGATCATACACTAATAGTTGTTTTTACCATTAAATTAATGAATTCGAGATTAATTTCTATAATTTAGAGATTTAGTATTAACTTTTCACATATAATGAGCATACTAACAAACTCTCTTGTATCATATGACCTGTTTTTTCTCAATCTTATCTGCTTTTCTTATATCCGTTTTGTATCGACGTATATTTTCTCTTATTTGATCCGCGTTCTTATCCAATTTTGGCGGATATATACTTGAGTTTGGACATAAATATGAGTTTTTGTTACTAAGACGTATTTGTATTATAAATATGAGTTTTTGTTACCAAGAAATATTTGTATTAATATATGTATTCATGATTGATGTGCTAATAAGATTTGATGAATATCATATTTGATCCTTAACAGATCCATTTGCACCCCTAAATATGAGCAGACACAATTCGCTGAAAAATATCTGAACTTTTTGTTTAGCGGGTAAAGAAATGTCGTAAATGTTTTGACTCATTAGATTTTGAGGTTCAAATTAGAGTTCTTTGGGTGTATTTGCGCGTCACATGTAGAAGACAGACTCAGCAATTAGTGAAATCTAAGCAATATTTTTTTCTTTTTCCTTTTTTTTTCTTGGCAACTGTTCTAGTTTCAACTATCTGTAGCGTTTTCCATATGCAATGGAAGGACAAATTTTCAAAACCATCCGGTTTTAAAATTTATTCCAAAAAAAAGACTCTGTTTAACTTTAATTATAAAAACAGACCCAGTTGGATGAAATTGGGTCTGTTTTTAAAAAAAAAATTCAAACTTCACGGGAGTTGAACTCCCGTGAAGTTTGAATTTTTTTTTTCAAAAACAGACCCAGTTTCATCCAATTGGGTCTGTTTTTGTAATTAAAGTTAAAATGTGTCGTTTTTTATAAATAAATTTTAAAAAGGGATGGTTTTGAAAATTTGTCATGCAATGGAATGCTATAAAAATTTGTCGTTTAGTGTATGTAAGAGTATCCTCGATTTTCATTTTAGTAATTAAATTGAGGTACAACCATAATAATAATAAAAGTTTGTGGAGTTTAAATATTTAAAATATCATAATTGGAGCTGGTGATTTAGAAATAAAAACAGAATATAGAAATATATAATGCACCCGTATTTGAAGTATTACGCAAAATTATTTAAAGGGTTTTTCATATTAGTCCATTAAAGTCTCTAACGTTTTGAATTAGTTCAGTCAAATCAATAAAATTGCATCAAGGCCGCCAACTCTTATAGGTTATTTAAAATTATTCCCTCAGATCATTGAATGTCCTACAAGATCCCAAGTTCTTACATTATTTTAAAAATAGCCCCTTAGATTATTGAAATTGCTATTTAAGTCCCCTAAGAGCAACTCCAATGGGGAGGCTGCAAAATGCAGCCTCCCCAAAGCATATTCTTGGGCATATGCTTTTTTAGAGGGGGGTAACTCCAACCACCTCCTCTATATGAAGCTCTATTTGCATTTTTAATTGATTTCTTTTATTAATACTTTAAATAGATTTGAAAATATAAAAAATATAAAATGTTAAAAAATTATATGAATTAATTTAAAATATAAAATATATTATAAATTAATACTAAAAGTATAATATATAATATACTCATTATTTAAATAAAAGTAATTATCTTTAATAAATTGATAATAAGACATAGATAAGAGCCTTTAAATTTTAAAAAGCAGAAAATATAGCATAATATTTGGAACAACCTTCACAGTTACTCCGAATGATGAAATTTTATATATTACATTCAGCGGCATTACATAGAAAAAGAAAGTACATGAAAATAAAGTACATGAAAAAAACTAAAAATCGGGCAGGCCATTTCCTCCATATCCACCGCTTCTGTAGTCAGGTATTCCGTATTGACTTCCTGCATAACTATATTCAGGATTAGGAATATCAGATGAAGAACCTCCGGTTGTGTTTCTATTTAAAATCTCTTGTTTTTTAATTCGAAAATACTCGCGTTCCGAAGGATCAGTAATAGTATCAAGATTAATCAACATAATCTTACTTTCCTGGCGTTCCCTTTGAATATCTAATTTTTTCTTTTCGTTTTCGACCCTTAACATCATAATCTGGTGCATTGTTATTCTATCATTTTCTCGTTCTCCATGACTTTTTTTTAAAATATCGACAATTTCTTTATTGCTTTTATTGAGAGTTTCCAAGTCGAGGTTGGATTCAGTTGCTTGTCGCCTCCTCATCTTCTCTTTCTTCCTTCCTGTCGGTCGACTTGTTATCATATCTTCGTCATTATGAGTATATTCCTCATTATCGTCATTTAAGTCGACGACAGGAGAACTTGAATCTGATCCCTGAGATGAGCGGGACTTTGAAGTTTTGGAAGTTGCAGGCGATCTGACACTTATATTTGCCCATTTCTCTGCATCTTTTAAAATTGACCAAACATGATCAAATAGAAACCCCTTTCTCTCTTCTGGATCTTCTGCAAATATTATCCTAGCACGTTTAATCTACCACAAGAGAGGAAGAAACATTTATTAATAACATGATAGTAGATGATAATCAAGATTTATGTTATTCAAAATACTTACAATGTCAAGCTCAGAAGCACCGCTTGGATTTAAGCGCTCGACTTGTCGAATACATCCTCGAAATTTACTGATGGCCTTCATAATTAATTGCATTCGGCATGAAAGAGACTTTGGAGTCCTTTGAGCATTACAAATATTGGAAATCCTTTCATGAAATAAAGCAGAAATTCGTTCCCACAGCTTGTCCTTCTTTTGATTAGAACCCATGACTGGATCTTGAGAAATTTCGAGCCACGTGGCGCATAAAACTTGGTCTTCTTCTTGTAAAAAAGATTTTCCGCGACTAGATGCCATAATCTAAGGAGGAATGTAAAGAGTTATGAATATAGAATAAGAAGAGTTGTGGTGGAGATATGAAAATTGTGCAAGTATTATATAGGGATCAGATGTGGGGAGTCTCCAACACCAGGAGAATCCAATGTGGGGAGTCTCCAACACAAAAGGAATCCAATGTGGGGGTGAGAAACCAATGCTAAAAAGAATCCAATGTGGGGAGTCTCCAACACAAAAGGAATCCAATGTGGGGGTGAGAAACCAATGCTGAAAAGAATCCAATGTGGGGAGTCTCCAACACAAAAGGAATCCAATGTGGGGGTGAGAAGCCAATGCTGAAAAGAATCCAATGCGGGGAGTCATATTATATAATGACATTACATCCATCTCTAAATAACTCAGAACTTATATGATTATTTCTATAAATAACTTCTTCATCAATGAACTATGGAGCCGGACCGTCACAACTACCATCTTCTTCTTCTTCTTCTTCTTCTGACGACGAAATATGGTCTCAGTACATTAAAGATTGGGAGGAAGATATGACACAATGGGAGAAGGAAGATGAACTCTTAGCTCGCGTACATGCCTCTAATAGTAAAATAATGACTTATCTCTCTCAAGAGGCAGAGCGGCCAAAGCGTATTGGCTCAGTTCCTGGTCATTTGGTGATCAATCGCGGGAGGGAAGAAGGTAATTCTCGACTTTACCATGACTATTTTTCTGATAACCCTACATATGGTGCAAACCTATTCCGTAGAAGGTTCCGGATGCACAGGAGTTTATTCCTTCGTATAGTTGAGGCAGTACGTGAGCATGACAACTTCTTCGTACAGAAGATGGATGGTGTCGGCAAACTTGGGCTATCAACTTTACAAAAAGTTACATCGGCATTTCGCATGTTGGCGTATGGAACATCAGCAGATAGTACTGACGAATATGTTAGGATCGGTGAGTCAACTGCAATTGTGTGTTTAAAGAGATTTTGCAGAGCAATTGTAGAAGTATATGGAGATGAATATCTGAGGACTCCCAATGTCGACGATGTTTCAAGGTTATTGCAAAAGGGCGAAGAAAGAGGTTTTCCAAGAATGTTAGGGAGTCTAGACTGTATGCATTGGCAATGGAAAAATTGTCCAAGAAGAAAGAGGTTTTCCAAGAATGTTAGGGAGTCTAGACTGTATGCATTGGCAATGGAAAAATTGTCCAACAGCATGGGCAGGACAATACTCAGGTCGTCATGGAGGTCCAACCATTATTCTTGAGGCAGTAGCATCATATGATCTATGGATATGGCATGCATACTTTGGCTTACCAGGATCCAATAACGATATTAATGTATTGCAGTCGTCTAATTTGTTCGACAATCTATCACAAGGTATTGCTCCTCCTGCTCATTACACAATTCAAGGAAAAAATTATGATGTCGGTTATTATTTGGCCGATGGCATATATCCGAAATGGCCAACACTTGTTCAAACCATTTCTAATTCCGATGATAAAAAGAAACAATATTTTGCAATGATGCAAGAAGCATGTCGAAAAGATGTTGAGCGGGCATTCGGTGTTCTCCAATCACGATTTGCTATCATCAAGGGGCCAGCCCGTTTTTGGGATAAACGAACTCTGCATGATATCATGACTGCTTGTATTATAATGCACAATATGATTGTCGAAGATGAACGCGACGAGCAAGAAGATGTTGTCATTTCAACTCCACAATCAATTCCGAATGCTGAAAATATGGAGATAACGGAAACTGAACGATTCCAACGGTTTCTTGCTCGACATAAGAGGTTGAAAAACAAAGAAGCTCATTTTGCACTTCGAAATGCATTGATTGAACATTTGTGGGAAAGACATGGAAATGAAGCTATGTAATTTTTTTACTAATAAAATAATAACTTTTTCAATTTTAATTACTTGGTTCTTGAAATTTTATATTTCAATTAATATTATTCAATATTAGTCTCATTTTGAAGGTATCGACAAAACATTTCCAACTGTTAAATTTTTATTTAAAAATAATTAGTAGAAATAAACTTATGTTGATTTTAAGTTAAATATCTAAAAATAATTAGTTAGTTAGAAGGGTATTATTGTAAATTTTTAGGGGGAATAGTGGTTTGGAGGGGGGCTGCATATTTAGAGCAAAAACTCCAAATATGTAGCCGAAGAAAATTTTTTGCAGCCGGACTCCAAAAATTGGAGTCCGGTTGGAGCTCCATGGGGCTGCAAAATGGAGTTTTGCAGCCCCATTGGAGTTGCTCTAATTCTCATAAATTTTTCTAATTAATCCCTCTAATTGCTATTTTTATTCTAGATTCAAAGGACTAATTGGAAACAATTTATGGGTATTGAGTGACCTAATAACAATTTCAATGATTTAAGGGACTAATTTTGCAACAACTTAAGAATTGTGGTACTTAATAGGAATTTAATGATGCGAGGGAGTAATTCAATGATGTGAGGGAGTAATTCTAAATATTAAAGAGTTAAGGACTAATAAGAAAAGATGGAGTTAAAAATCCAATCAAACAATAACATATTCTTCCAAGAAAAGTTTAAACCAAAATCCTTCAAAGTTTACATAATGTAAGTTTGTAATGAATATTCATCCCCTTTGTAACTTACAAGATTACACAGATAACAAGCATAGAATGCAATACACTAGCAGAAGGGATAAAAATGAAAAGGCCAATATTAACTTATGGAGAATTTGAAGTAAGTTGTCAGTACTTCGGATGTGAAACAGTGAAGCATCAAGCCTGATCTATGTTCGCATGACTTTTTGTAGCAAGATACTCCAGGTGCCAATCTCATTAACTTTGTAATCTCAATGTTGTAGTCCGCATCTACCAATAACTAGCACATTAGATCCAAACTGGACAAATATACAAGTCTTCAACATCGTGATCTCTTCCTCATAACAAGATCAAAGATGGCCAGTAATAAATTATCTCCATTAGCGTTATATAGAAACTGGCTTGAGAAAACCTCAAATATCTAAATGCTCTAGGTTCATTGTACTGGCAGAATTCTGAATCAAGTCCTTTCTGACATCAACCTGGGGAAGGTCACGGTACACAGTCAAATGAGATCTCACCAAAATAGTTTTATATCTAACGTTAATAGGAAATACTGGGAGACAAGGGGTTCATTTGCTTACACGAGTACCCATGAGAGAAGAGAAAACAACATTTGCTTCGGCAGCATCTTCCACCATTAACTGCTTCAGCAGCCTAGTCTCCGGGTTCATTGTAGTCTCCCAAAGTTGTGCAGGCATCATTTCTCCTAAACCTGTTGATCAACAAAATAAACAAATCACAGAGATTTGCACAAAAGCTCTTGAACGCGTACATGAAGTACCTGTACCACAGAGACAAGTATTTTCGTAGTAGGTGTACTCAAGTATAAGCATCTTCTCCAATAGTTGTCCATACATCACATAAGAGCATCAACATGAAGCGAAGTTTTAGAATCTTGTGTTCTAGTTAGACTTTCTATAGAATATTACGCATATTTTCAATCCCCTTATACTATAAACATCTGCATCTGACAGTAAGCATTCATAATTATATGTAGGGCATTTATTGTTCACACTCATCCCTCGTGTATAAGCATCTTAAGTGTCTATTTTTCCCCCATATATCGGCATGGAAAAAAGAATGTCTGAATAGAGTTGAAGAAAAATAGTACCATGCTGATATTATTCAAGGGTACAGAGTCTAACTAGAAAAAAAAATATATGCTCATGACATTGGGTGAAGTCGGGAGGCCAAAAATCTGGACCAACTAATCCCAAATAGTACTGTAAACAAAAAAGCAACAGGAGCATTTCACAGGTGATAGGTCTACAAGTGACACGAGCATTTGCATATTTTTTAATAGGTTTCACATTTGAACCATTTTGAGTTACATCACCGTAGCTGCTTCACAATTACATGCTCAAAGTTCCCTACTGTACTCACAGTGATTATCATGAATTGGTTTTAAGTACAAACCCAAGCTTCTTACAATTGGTTAAATAGAAGCCGAAGTTCCTAAAAAATCAATGACAACAAAGACTGGAAAAGTGCGAGAAAAAGAAAGCATAATCACCAAGGTAGAGCTCCAAAAGAAAAGCAAAGAAAAATGAAGAGAAAAACTATATAATCCCCTAAAAGGTAAACTAACCAGCGTGCAGTGAATTCAGAATAAGCTATCAGGTGACGGATATTAATGTATATTGAGAATTGATGCCAGTATAGTTGAGTAGAAACGAGGTCATCTGAAAGAGCGAAAGTATGACTATACCTTTAAACCTTTGAATATTATATGAAGCATTTGAAGGGAAAGTACTCTGAAGCCTCTTCAGCTCAGCCTCGTCATAGCAGTAATGCACTTGCTTGCCACGCTCAACCTGAAATTTAGTATCAAAGAGAAATTAACAGCTAAGTTTGCGCAGAAAAAGAAAGTGGAATGCTGATAAAAGCTAAGGCAAAATAACTGTGAGACATGGACCTTGTAAAGTGGTGGAACGCCCACATAAATGCACCCCTCATCATATAATGCTTTCTACAGAAGCAGCTTTGTTAACCCCATTAAGCACTTGACGAAGTACACAAGTAACTGAAACAAAGCTCATGCCATAATTTCCCAAAAAATGAAATAAGCACACCAACCTGGTATCTAAAGAAAAATGTTAGTAGAAGGGTTCTGATGTGAGCACCATCCACATCAGCATCTGTTAGAATGATAATCTTGTGATATCGAAGGGCATCCTTTTTAAAATCCTCCCCCTGAAAAAGAGAGAAAATGGGGTCACAAGCAATTTTAGCATATAGAAAGAATAAAAAATAAGATGATCCAACCTTCACTCCGAGTCCCAGAGCAAGAATAAGATTTTGGATCTCTTCGTTTTTGTACATAGCTGCCTCATCCTTTCTTTCAATGTTCAGAATTTTACCCCTTAATGGTAAAATAGCCTACAATAAAATATTGAGACAAAGTACTTTGAGGCAAATAACATAGTTTCTGACCAGCTTGCAATGGCTTATAAGATAATAAATCAAGGAAAAAAGATAATAATGCAAAAAACATATTGTTGGATAGTTAAATTGACAAGCCTTCTAGTGCTTAGTGGTGATATTTGTGAAGACAATACTTGCAAAAATTAGAAAACAAAGAATTTTGTATCCTAGTACTGCAACCATGTGCCAACACACATTTAATGAATAAGATAGATCAGCTTCAAAGTTTGGTTAGATTGGACTAGAAACTGCCACACAATAAAAAATGAGACAATTGCTAAGTATGTCATGGAAGCAGATGTTCATTATTAGAGATCGATATTTAATATATCAATGGAATGTGGTTAGAGTTATATTGTGTCTAATGCGTAGGCATCCACTTCTGATAGTGGAGAACCTCAGGTAATACATAAAAGTTTTCTTTTTAACATATACATCTTACAGTTCAATTGCTATATAGGAAAACTAATATAAATCTTATGTATGTATTTATTGGACCAGTTCATCTCCTGATAAAAATTTTGCGTCTTGCAATTCTTGCCTTACAATACGCAACTTATTACAATGAGTTGGCACCAAAAAAATCATGGGTTTTGAACAGTGTTCTAAAAAGCGGCCTAGGCGTCTACCTAGGCCTAGGCGGACACTTGCCCGCCTATTTTTGGCCTGAGTGCCCAGCCTAGGCGGCCGCTCCGCCTAGTTTTTAAAACAAAAAAAAAATTAAGTGATTACCCAGCCCAAATCCTTACCCGAACCCATTACCCAAACCCGAACCCATTACTCAAACCCAAACTTAACCCTAATACCCTATTTCTCTCTCATTCTTTCAGTCCTTCTCTCGACTCCTGACTCCAGCCTTTCTCCCGCCGCCTCTC